CACTTTTCTTCCTATCTATGTATTTGTGAACATGTGTGTGTATGTGTGTGTGTGTGTGTGTGTGTGTGTGTGTGTGTATCTCAGACAATTGTCTGTGATAGAGAAATGGGATTTCAAGTATTTCTCTGTCCACATGCACTAGGGGTCTGGCTTGCTGGGTTGTTGTTCATGGATGGTAATGTACACCTTGCCATTAACATGATGTGATACATTCTTATGAGGACAGCATCCGAGGAAGTCAGAATCGGTGGATTCCAGAGATCGGGAGTTTCACTTGGGACAAGAGAAGTGTTTCTTCTTTGCTGCTCTTTTTAGAAGATACATTTGCTCCAGGTTGATTATAAAATGTTTACACATAGTTTAGGGGGGGAAATGACTTATTCTTTACAATGCCTCATAAGGTATAAAAGTATCTTCTAGTACATGGCCATTTGGTCTTCCTATACGCATTGTAAGGTGGAAAGAAGGTGCCTTAATCCATAGTATACAGGTGAGGAAACTATGGGGCTGTCCCAGACAAGGCTCCTCTTCCAGGGAAATGTGTTAGGGTGTAGAGTACCAGGACAGCCTATGTGCGGGTGAAGGATGCAGGGTGTCTGAGTGATAGTCAGCCTGGTTTCAAAGTTGACTTCATCCACCTTATTTTTCTCTCTTAGACGCATTTTATCAAAATCCCTAGTCAGACTCCTCATCTGTACAATGGATAACAACTCCAAACATTATTACTAGTTATAACATCCATAGTCACTAAGATGACCAATGAAAAGCTTATTAACAATCACAGTGATGGCTGCCAGGTGTTACTGCATATTTGCTAATCTACCACAATCTTGAAGCAGTAAAAGTAGTCAAAAAATCAATAAGCCAACACAAAGGTCCCTACTTTTCTACCAATTCATCATTTACTTTCAGATGTCTCTTGTAGTGTTTCAATTTCCCTCTCTCTACTTGTCCTTCAATGATGTAAGTGCGCAGTCTTCAAACCCTTCTTAAGGCACATTTTTTTCAAGAGAGATGTATCTCGTCTGAACCAAAGATAACTCTTCTGGATAAGCAATGCACTCAGAACTCATGACATACACGCCTGAACTCATTCTTCCAACTTTGGTCACCGTGATATCCTCAACTCCATCTCCTCTGCTGTACCTGCTCTTACTCCAGGTGGACATGGTGCTGCCCTGCTTTTCTTCCTGAAGACCTGCTCAGAAGGTCAAATGATCACAAAGCTTCCTCTGATCCTTCGGAAATGCCGTTGCAATGTTCCCGCTACTGTTTCTTGATAGCAATTTCACCTGGACTGTATTCAATGAACATGTTTTGTAGATGATGGAATAGGAGCCCAGGCAGGGAACCCAGGGAGACGCCTGCTCAGCCTCCTCCTCCGTCCCTGCCGTGGACACAGCCCTCTCTCCAGCTGCCATTGTTACGACATTCCCGCTACATGGCCTCCTCTCTCTCATGTTCGGAGCACTAAGGGAGTCATTTGTGCACAGACTGCACAGAATCCAAAAATGATCTGCCATAGCGAACGAAACTTTACTCTTGAGAATGTGAATAAAGAATACAAATTTTATAATGTGATCTAAAAGTATACTTTATTTTGTACTGAAATTCAGACATTTATCTTCTGGTGGCTTTTAAGTTTTGTTTCAATAACCTGTGGCTATTAACGGAAGACCCTAAAACAAGTTTTCAAAGAGTGACCTGCAGTAAAGGAGCCCGTCTCCCTAGTGGGGGAAATGAGGTGAGATCAAAGACTGTGTTGACTGCAGTTATGGTGGAGACCAGGGAGGGACTAAGAATCCCAGAACACTGGTATAGGATCAGGGAACTTCTGGAAACCACCTAAGCAAATGACCAGAATCTGAACAGGCTGTGTGGACATTACTTACTTCTGAGGAATGAAAGGAATGTTAAGAGACAATTTACTTCTTTTTGAAAACAGGAGAAAGTTCAGAACCCATAGCTAAAAGGAAAAGAATGGAAATAATGGTGTTTTAGGAGAAAGTTCAGAACCCATAGCTAAAAGGAAAAGAATGGAAATAATGGTGTTTTATGGCTAGCTGATCTGAAACAGCTATGTCTCCTATTTTCATAGCCCTGTGTGAATTATTTGAACAATATGGTTAGGCTAAAGAAAAATTTCATAGAACTCAAAATCATGAACAAAATGAATCAGGAGACTTCTGAATTAAGGAGGAGCCTTGGAAATATTAAACTGGAATTCTGATGACAAACACCTCTCTGGCAATCCAACTGATATATTTATTTCTACTTACTTAATCTTTAGAAGGGTCAGGTAAAAGGTTAGCTAAACAAATAAGGAAGTAGTAATTAACTCAAGTCTCAGGTATTATTTTTTTCATCTGTTTAATGACTTTTGGCTGGTCTTTTGTACCATATATTGATAGTCAGATACCAGCCCCTAGACAAAGCATGCACACAAACTATCCTTCATGTATTAAACACACCCAAACCCATTTTCAAATCATGTGTCTAAGAAGTCAGTATTCTAAGCATTTTATTTAACTTTCCTCTAGAATTGGAAACATACCATTAATTTTCATCATGGATAAACTTGATGTAAGACATCTTTTATTACCAAAACATCAGTGCGTTTTTGCTACTTTAGCAATGATGATGCAATTTATTTTGATACTCTGAGGCCATGAAGAATCTATTCACGGATTGAAAACAAAAACAAAACACTGTAACTTATGAAGAAAACCTTACTTCCTAAGGGGAAACTACAGAAAAAGCAGATGTGGGAGTTTGAATGAATATTCACGGATTGTCAATCATTTGACGTTTTAAACAGTAAGAACTACAGCTTTTGGAGTGATTTCAGCCCGATGAAATATTTTTAGTAGAAAAAACTAAGGTAAAACAGCATCTTTGCAATGGACGCTGATCTTCATAGGTCTAATAATTTGGTCTCCTACTATGTCTATAGTTATATTTCAATTACCTCATGAAATCAAAATTAATTATGACAAATCAAGTATAATGTCTACTTTTTCAAGACATCTCATAAAATTGGAAAGTATGTAAAAATAGGTATGGAAAATCAGATTTCCATGTCAGCACCTCAACCTTGAGTTAAGCAAGTGAAACACACTTGGATTTCAGTACTAAACTCAATGTGGGGACTCATAGAAATTGCATGTAGTTATACCATTAAGATTTTGAAAAATAAATTCAAGCACTGAAAAATAAAATGACTACTGTTATCCAACTAAGATGGTGTGCTACCTTAATACCTTATTTTAAAACAAACATCTTTTGGAATAGAACACTTTAACAGCCTATTTTAATTCACTTCATAAACAAAAGATTAAACATTTATTAAAAATAACCTGAGTTAAAAGTTTGAAACCTCTCCTTTCTTCACTTAGAGATGTCACCAACTTTTGAACACAGATCAAGTGTCCTTCAGAGAATATCAAATCGTTTTTATTGATAGATTTCAATACAGGCTTTTTAATAGGCACCTCAGGGGTCTCTAAAGAGCACCCCCAAGTTTTTTCCAGAGTACTACACTCCAAGGTTCAGTACCGAAAATAATTCCGGTGTACATCTGCATGTCTCTAGGACAGTGCCACACTAGATCAACTTTCCTCTCCTGATCACTTGGTGAATAATTTTGTTACCACCAAGAAGCCTCTATGATCTCCTCCTCATAACTACACTCAGTTTAGTTTGATGTTCAGTCATTGAAAGATCATTTCATGGATTTCTGTGCAAATATTTTTAAGAAGAGAATATGATCAGCATCACTCTGTATATCTGGGAAGACTTGGGGAGGGGAGCTGAACATCCTGTGAATAACTATAGGACATAGAAATGACAGCTTGTAATTTTAATTTTTCTTCCAGTCTTCACTCCCATTATAACTTGGCACTTATATCCTATCTGATACATTATTGGTTAAGAAGGAATAAGTGCCTATGAAAATTCCTAGTGATAAAACCAGGTATATCTGGCTAATCATTTAAAAATAATCTTTGATGCATCAACATTGAATTAAAGGTCATAAAAGCATGGGAATGAAGAAATCAACCATGTCAAATTAACAAGGGTATGTTTTTTTATCACAAATAATATGTATAGAAATATGCAGCTCAATAATGAAAAATGAACTTTATCATGTCCTACACATTATCTACTCATCAGCTTACAAAATCAATTCATAATTTTAAGTTGTATTTTGAATTATTTTTGTAAGTCACAGAGTATTTAGAATCTCCAAAATTCTTTGCTCTTTCTCCTACAAATTAAATGATTTTCTATATACTTGTTTATGTTAACACACGTGAAAATGTTATTTGTTTATGTTAACACATGTGAAAATGACTTTCTAACAGCGATATACGACAATGATTTATCCATCTGGTTTATATGACCTGATTGAATTGAAAACTATGAATTATAATAGACTGGGTTTCTTTTCTAGTTGAACTCCAGAATTCTTTCAAAAGCCTAGAATTCAGTCATTTTGAAAATGTTGGGTAAACAGATTTGTGATCCTCCTAGTGCTGGAAAGTCATTGTCTAATAATATACATTTAACATCTGAAAAGTGGATCCACTTGCTAAATTAAATTTTATAGTGTGTGTACAATTCAGCAGAGATTATAGAGGCCTTTAATTTATCTCATCAAACACACCATAGTCTCTAAGCCTGGGTGTCATGTAAGTGCCTGAGTGTAAGGAAAAGAGTTCTATAATTCAGACCGAATGGGACCATGATTTTGAAGAAAAGACTTTGCATTCTAAAGCAGAACACGCTGTAGATTTTAGAAGTGTTTAGGTGAAGTGACCTCCATGGTCAAGGCCACCCTACACTTGCATGGGTGGGGAAGGTTGGCATAAATCATGTGTGTATGTAAGTAAGCCAGGCATTTTTTAATCACTCCAATAGAAGAAAACATTTCTCTTAACTCAAATTAAGAAATTATTGTACATTTTATATATTTATATAAAATTTACAAGTAGCAAGCATATGGCACAAAGAAATGGGAGAGTAACAGTGATATTTTGAGAATGCATGCTTTTTTACAATGTGTCTGACAAAGAGGATATTTCCCCAACTCAATTATCCAGTATTGACATGCAGGGTATTTTCTCAAACTGTCATATTGCTAAGTGCTTAATCAAAGACATTTCTATTGTAGAGGAGGAGTGGTAAAATATCTAATTTCAAAAAGAAGAAAGAAAAGAGAAAAGAACCTGTTCTGAAACTCAATATCTTCCTTTGATGAAAAAAAAAAGGAATGGGGTCTATAAGAAAGACCAAAAGAATGAGATGCTTTTTTCTTATTGCAATCTAGTGATTTTACTCATTGCTTTCCACTCTGTTTAATCACACAGCATTACATGGGTATAGTCCATAAAACCTCTGGTTGGTGTCTCCGTGATCCACATGGTCACTTTTCATGGTTGCACATTCAAAATCACCCAAGAACGCTCACTATTCTCAAGCAGTCCAGAGTGAAAACAGGTAACACAAGGTTCATCAGAAATTTTGTGGTGTGTTTTTTTCTCTCTCACAGATCACATGATGTACAATTATGTAACAAAGACATAAACAACATAGAAACAAAAGTAAAACTGACAATAGAAAATAAACTCGAGATAGTCTTAATCAGGAATTCATTTCTTCTTCAAGTTTCCAGTAAACCTCCCAATGTATTTAAAAACTAAGGAGCACTTGGTGGCCAGCAACCAAATTACGAAATGACATGTCATTTTCAACGGGGATGTCTCGCCGGAGAATTAACAAAGGTCTGTAATTCTTAAGTTTGAATAAAGGCAGTGGAATGAATTTAGAAATGTGTCCACTTTTCACAATTCACTATAGAATTTTCTTTTCACAGTCCCCATGTTTGTACAAAGAGTTCTTTCTGAAAGTAAAGCACAGTTAAAACATTTTCTCCCAATGGAAAAAAAAATGCACACAAAGACACCAGTTTTTCAAGGTGCTTTAGAACACGACAGTTCGCTCAATCTAATTCAAGAGTAGGAGTGATAGGCTCCAAGGGTTGGGAAAAGATTAACCGTCTAGAAAATTTAAGTGGAGATCCATTAGGCTAACGCAAATAACAGACTCAGCTGGGAAAATGAAGCCATTGCACAATGCAGAGACAGAGTGGGGTACACAGACCACAGGCAGAGGGCTCCTCTCTCATTCACCAGCTTTCACACTTTATCTGATAACATTAGACACCGCATGCTGCATTTAAGCTACTTACTCATGCAAACAAAGAGGCTACATAAGTTTCATAAATACCTCCAGACAGTTCGTGTTTGACTTTTGAAAGGGATCTTGACAAATTATATAAATAATTGCTAGTTTAGGATATCCATCTTGGTTATGTTAAGGATGAATGCTCTATTTCTTTTTTCTACTAGGTAAACACTGAGTTTCTTATGGTGCTTATTTGGAGACAATTCATTAGGTTCAGTGTCTTGACCTTCAAATAGGTAGCATTTAGCCGATGAAGTCAGTATCCATGACACTGAAGAACAAGAACTGCATTTCTCCTAAAACCATTCCCCACCACTACTGGATACACTGCATTTGTAGTGATGAAGTGCAGTGCGCAGGTATCTCTAGAAATAATGAAACATCTCACAGTCCCTATAAAACCACAAGACAACCTCAACAGAACCACGCAGAATGGAGGAAGACAGGGCAGGGGAGGAGCCGAGGGCTTTCACTTACCTTGTTTTCTTTTTAGACCCGCGTGGTGTTGTATTCAGACTCGTGTTTGCTTAGAGACCCAATGAGGCAGAACCTGGAATGTTACAGCTATTTCATTCAACAAAGTAATATTTGCACAAAACAGACATACACACCAACACGTTTACTTAAAAGTACCCATACTGAAATCCATAAAAGTGTGGAAATAGTTGCTTGCCATCTGCATGCAAAAATCAGTAAGATCAATCAAAATACTGTAGATTTTTAGAATGTATGGCAAATAAACCTGCCAATTCAGACAGTAAGCGTAATATAAGCAAGCATGCCACACAGAGCATAGAGACGGGATGCTGGAATTATATTTTTTAATTTAACTTTTCAGTGCTCAACCGTTACTCATTTTATGGTCGATAACAGCACAAATTATCTCATATGTACATAAAAATAAACATGAACAGAAGATATTTTTTAAATAAGCAAATAAAATATGTACTTCTACAATAGTACCTTATTTAAATATAAGTGTGCAGGATTTCAGTATACTGTACTATTATGTGTAATTATGTGGTATGTGGAAGGAAATTGTTTGCATTTCCAGGCCAAAAATGGATGTGATATATTGCAAAATCTGTGATTGCTGCCTTAAAATCACTCAACAAGATGAGATATCCATCTGGAGAAGGTAGTTGTTTCCAAATGTCATTTTTTTAAATCTTAAAATATGTAAACATAGATGATGGGATCTCATATGACCATGTGGAAGGGAGCAAGTTGGCAGTATCACCTGTAGTATAAATTGCCGCCATTTTTATTAGCTTCACTATGCGTGTGGGGTTGGAAACCAAGTTCTTTGGTGTGGTGTGAGTTTTCTTTATGTGTGAATTACAGGGAGGGGTGGGGTTGTTTCAGAAGAGTAAGGAAGTCACTGGAGACGGAAAAAGAAGAGGAAAGATTCTGTGACCCTGGGCTCAACTGTCACAAGGGAAGTGACAAGAAGGAGAAGGAAGAAGTGGGGGAAGGAGGAGGAGAAAGAGGAGGAAGAGGAGGAGCAGGGGGAGCAAAGCAAACGCAAGTAATCCATGTTTTGCAACGCTTTGAGTCTTTAAGAGTTGGCTGTCACCCAGAAACTCAAAGCAAATCCCAAACCATCTGTGGGTACTGACCGCTGCACGGCTTTGTCGTGCCTGGACAGCCTGTGGCTGGTGGTGGGCACCTCCTCGATCTCGTCCACGTCGCAGGCATCTGCGGGGTCCTGGGAGTAGTTGTGTTTCATGACAAGGATGTTTCTCCTGTTCACGGGTGGGAGGAGGGGCTTGGCGGGCTGGGTGGGCATCTCCGTCAAGATGGGAGCGTCTCTTGTGCTGAGGTTGCTGCGGCTGCCCTTAGCGCTGGACAGCTGGGATCCACAGTGATGGTCGTGAATGCATTTGGACGATGACCTCCGCAGCTTGTGGTAACTGTCAAAGTCATCCGCTCCATCTGCAAAGTCCGCTGTCGCTCCTGTCCCTCTGAGAGTGCATAGCTCATAGTGAGGAGGCTCAAACACCTCCTGGAAAACGGTCTGCTCAAAGTCTGACTTCCTTGGGACGTACTTTTTACGAGGCTGTTTGATCTGGACAATGACAGAAATGATAATAAGGATGATCACAATGCAGGAAGTCACGCCAATGACAGTCCCACTGGTGTTGGTGAGCTGGTCCAGCAGGCTGGTTTTCCTCTTTTCTGTAGGTAGGAGAGTGCAGACAACAGACAGACAAAACAAAACGAGAAACAACCCACCACGCATTAATATCATGGTCACAAGGCACGCGGAAAACTTTAACTAGGCTGAGCACAGAAGGTTCGCAGGTTTAAGGGAACATATGCAAACAGTGCTCCAGTGTCCCAAGGGCCCTCTCTTCCACTTTTAAAATCGTTGTCCCATTGCCCGAAGCCCATGCTAGAAATAAATACATGTGTGCACATAGTTTGTATGTGTAAACATATGCATGTGTGTGTGCATATATGTGCTACAGAGGTTTGTGAAGATCTGTAGTGTGACAATTAGGAACGCACTGGCCACGTTGGAAGTGGTAAATTATTTTCTTCTCTCAGTTATAAGAAAATATAGACTATCCATTCTTTAGGACAAGACCGTATCGTGCTCTACTCATGCGCGATTTGATAACAATGATGTGGCAGATGTTGCAGGATGATGTAATAACCGCACAGAATGTTATATTGTACCAACAAGATCCTGAAACCAGAAAGCTCTTTCAACAGGAATTCAAGACAGTCACTCTGGGATGGGAGTGGAGGGTCTGCATGGACTCTTTCCCAAATTAAGCCACCAAAAATAGAAGAGAGAGAGAGACAGACAGACAGACAGAAAGAGAGAGAATCAGAGACAGAGAGAGACAGAGAGAAGTCTGATGACAGTCTGGTACAGGTGAGGCTGGGATTCAGCGGAGATGTTCTGAGGTAAGAATAGCTGCTAGACTCCTTGGAGAACAGACTGCATCCCGTTTCCCCCTCCAGCTCTCTGCAGAAAGGCCAAAGAAGACCATACAAACTCCTTACACAGGTGCAGAGAGATAACAATTACTCTGTCTAAAGAAGAACAGGAAAAATCCTGCATGGAATGAGTGTACACTCAGCAAATAACCAAAGACAGCAGTGCAGGAAGAGGAGGAGGAGGGGAGTGGCAGCAGAAATATTTTGAAGAGCAAAGTCTGAAAACTTCCAGAAGTCAGTGAGAAAACCCAGCCACCGAGGTCAGCAAACCCCATGTGGAGAAGTGTGCAAGGCCCACACCCAGGCCTCCATGAAAATGTTACAAAAGAGATTCTAGAGGAGGTTCATCATCCGACTGAATTCTAACACGTGCTTGTGGGAGTTGCCACAGCGAAACCTCCTTGTACAACAAACATGCAAAAACACTGACGAGGAGATACAAGAGCCTCAGGAAGCAGACCCCGCCGATCGATCGGGGCCGGCACAGGCACGGGGAGCAGTGGGGAGGCCCAAGGGAGAAGAGAATGAAGAGAAGCACGGCTGAGGAACTTTAAATGCAGGTGTGAGGGGAGAACAAGGAAACCTGTGGGAATGGTTTTAAGAAGAGAGGAAAAGGAATGAGGGAGCGAGATGGGCAGATCGAGAACTGTCACAGGAAAATCCCTTACACAACTACTAGATGTTAATTAAAAAGAAACAACATTCAGAAAGCAGACATAAATCTCAAAACCAACATGGGGTATGACACAGGAAGGCCCCTCGCCAGAGAGCCACCTGCAGAACTGTCAGGAGAGGCGGGAGATGGCCAGGTAACCTGTGGAAACACGGCAAGCGAATGCAACCCAACATCTGATAGCCAGTGAGACAAGAAATCACTGTGGGCCCCAATCCACAAATTCCTATGAAACAGAAATCCTCACCCAGCAACAAACAAATGTGGGGCCAAAGCCCACACTGAAACTAAATCCCTACTGAAACTGAAATCATGACACAGCCCAATAAACACGAATGAAGAAGCCAGTGCCAAATGGCTATCTTTAATAAAACACTGAAAGAGGCCCTGAGCTTGGAAACGAGTGGCCTGAGACAGTTGCATCTCTACACGAAAAAATAAACAGAATTTAACCAAAATAACTACAGCCCACAAAGGCAAGTGTAAATACACCTGAAAGATAGTACAGATGCAAATTGTATCTGCCTTCTTCACTTATTGTTAAAGTGTTTTATTACAGAATTGACTATTGGGGTATGACTTACAGAAACGTGATGCATGGGCAATATGGGCTCATGGGAGCTGAACCCCATTGGGGAGAGGCAGGCACCAACAAAGGGTACCAGAAACAGCATGACAAAACAGCCGTGTAACCCAGTATGCAATGTGGACCCGCTTTCCTATCTCTCCACATCTCTAAACAACTCAAAATCATATAACATGAAGGTGGAGCATGTTATAGGTGTCATATTGAGATAGAACAAGAACAAGGAAGAGAGAATGCAGCTCTATAAGAATAATATTTCTATACCTCTCTAAAATTGTTAGTATAAATATAAAATATGTCCTGGGAAGTTAAGGTGAATGTTGCTAGCCTTAAAGCAAGTAAAAAATGTGGAAAAACTATTGAAGATTTAAGATGTTAGAGCAGAATATATTCACCCACTGAAAAATGGAATAAAGGATGACAAGAAAAAAATGAGACATAAAAATAATGGTGGATAGTAGCTCAGCTGTATCAATAAAAGTATTAAATTTGAACAAACAGCTAGATGGTTATTAGAACAGATAAGAAATGCATTCTAAATATACACTGTCTGCAGACAAAGAGGTGATAGCTGCAGGACAGAAGGGTGACAGGAACAGGGTGCAGACTTTGATATCGACATCTGAGTGACTAATTTCTGACCAAGTACTTTAAGAATCCAAATATTACCAAAGTCCAAATCCTCTTATGATGAGAAAAGGCTTAATCCATCGGGAAGACAGAACGATTATAAACATGGAGCCGGCAACCAAGTTTCAAGAGACATGCCGTAGAAGTTTTATACATGGAAGAGAGAAGTAGGAAACGAAACCAAGTATTTGAGAGCGTAACATCCTCTTTTCAGTAATGTATAAAATATTTCAGGAATAGAATAAGCACAAGACTTATAGATGATTCTAGAGACCCACTAGCCCTGTCCTCCAGCCATGCGCCCTGAGTGAGGAGATGCACATGGCTTCAGGGCACACCCAGTGTGAGGAACAGCACACACGTTCAGGGGCACACGCAAGTCCTTCTCGCACGCCGGGGTCTGTGCTGAGCTGCGCCACTAACCTCCCTAAGCGAAAAGCGACTGGAATCCCGAGGAGTCTGTTTGCTCCTCACAAGAGAATGAATAAGAAGGCAGAAGAACTTCCTAGCTCTGGAAGCAGTGAAGGGGACCCCCACGCCCATTCCGTGAGCCCTGCCTGGTACTCAAGTCCGGGCAGCCATGCTGCTCCTCTCCACAGAAGGCATTTTGTCATCTCATGTTGCAGGTCAAGTGGAGAACAATGGCTTTCCCACCCACCGGCCTGTCCAGACTGTTCAACACTGAACCCCATGCCCTACTCTGAGCTTGACAACATGCAGCAGAATCCATGTAAGGAGCTCTCCAAGGAGCTTCGAGCTTCAACTACTGGAAGGGGCAGGGACAAGGGGCACAGGGGCCTTCTTCCATTGGAGAGGAAGAGGGCAGAACTGCTGTGCAGGCACGCGGGAGCAAGTGCTGGAAAGCACAAGCACCCTTCAACACCCGCATGTGTCCGCCAAGAGCAACGAGGAGGAGCTGGAGTGGGTGACAGGTGCAGCCTTGGGTGGGGTGCAGCCAGCTGTGACTGGGGAGACAGCCCCCAAGAGCTCCCCGTCCCCCAGGACCACGAGGTGGGTTCCTGCGAGATTGCAAGGATCAGAGTAACCCTAGGTCCTCGGAGGAGCACGGAGGACGCAGGGAACTGCTCGTGAGCTGGTGGTGGTGCGCATGGAGACAGTCCTGAACACGGTCTCACACTACGGCCTAGAGACTTCCTCGCACACGCAGGGGCCTGTGCTTTACACAAAGGTCAGGGCGGGCGAGTCATTACCTTTACAGTGGTTTTCATCCCACGGATACACACAGTTCTGGAGCCCGTTGCACACCAGCGTGTTGTTGATGCACATGTTGCTGTGGCAGAAGAAGGTATTGCCCTCGCAAGGAGCTGAAATCCAGAACAAGACAGACAGGGTTGGGTCCCGGGCTCGGCAGGAAGACACGGGAAGTCAAGGCACCAAGACCAAAGGGAGCATTTGCCCTTCATCGAGTTGAACCCTGAGCCCCAGGCCTGGCCTGTGGGGATGCCCGACTTCCCGCTGGCTCCCAGCGCTGGCTGGTCTTGCTGGGCTCCGTGGGGGAAGAACCCTCGCTATCCTCGGCCTGGGCCTCCACCGCAGAGCCGCTGCATTTTGTTTCCAGTTGCAATGTGCACTTAGTGACAACTCATGTGCTGATGGACATTCATACCACAGACAGAAAGTATACCTCACACCAAAACCTGGATGGTATACATTTCTTTTTGCTGTGTCAAAACACTTAACTGGAACAACGGAATAATTCTGAAGTATGACAGATGCCAAGTATTACTGGAAATAAACACAAACACTGACCCCTATAACCTCATGCAATCTCTCTCTCTCTCTCTCTCTCTCACACACACACACACACACACACACACACACACACACACACTTGTCTCGATAGAGATATTGTGGACTGCATTGCACAGAAATGTTTTAAAGCTACACTTGTGTTTTTACCATCCCAATCACTGCACAGAAGACATAAAATGTAATTTCTAGGTATTTAGGTATTTCAGTAATAGCTCTGAAATCATTTTTACAGATGTATATGCTAGAAAATGTATATTATAAAAGACAGAATCATGTTGGTTAATCTATAATGATGATCAATCGGTCAATATTGTCCAACACCTGCCATCACAACAATACCTTTTTCATTTTTTAAAACCATGTGCTGTATTTGAGAACATTAGTTTGTTCACTGCCTTTGCTGTTATTCAAGATGTTCAGAACTGTACTTTCCACAGGCAACTTGGTCGTTCAGGATACACAGAAGGTTCCTGATCATCCAAACAAGATGATGGTAGAGCTCACCCCGGCAGAATGTTCCCCCTCTCCCCAGCCTCGCTCACTCAACACAGTTGTTTCTTCTCCTGCAGTAACACAACATGAAGTCTATCGGAAAAACTACAGGGACTATGATTTAGTCATTTTGAAAAGCGTCGCACTTAACACTTTATTAACCTAATGATTTGTTCAGAGCAAACTGTTGCCCTGTAAAATGTAATGATCTATTATTGTGAAAATCTGCTTTTCAGTATGGAACTAAATTTGAACTTCTGTAGCCAACCATAATGGCTTTGCTAGCACTGACACAGCTGGCTAAGCAGATAATAAACAGTGTCAAATTTGTGCAGCTTCAAGGAGTTTTCAACACATAGCCTGCATTGGCTGCAAAACACTTTAGTAGGAAACTTTACTTAATAAATTGCTACAGTTGTGAAAATATAGTTATGCACTGAGAAAAGAATGTCTTAAAAGGCACAAATATTTCTTGGCCATCTATGATGTTTCAAAAATACTGATTGGATAGTAAGGCTTAGTTTTAAAAAGTTAAACATATCAAGAAAACTGGGAGCGAAATTCAGTTCTGTGGTTTTGGTTCCATCGCTTACTAATTATAAGCCCTCAGACTATCAGTTGGTACCATTTATTGCTCATTAGCAGGTTATGTGAACACAATGGGTAACACTGGAATGCCAATAAATTGGTATTGATCCGTGATTTGCTTCTCATTGTTAAATTGTTACGTGCATCTTTGTACTAACTTTAATTATTCTAAGTTATGTTTCCAAACTTTTCTCCTCTATTTTACCTGATTCTTGGATATTTGGGCAAGTGGCAAACCACACACACACACACACACACACACACACACACACACACACACAGAGAGAGAGAGAGAGAGAGAGAGAGAGAGACTTCAGTGAAAGAAAGCAAACACTTTTGTGGCTAACCACAGACCTAAAACATGCCATACAGCTTGAACAGAAGAAATTTTGTCCTAGAGACACTACTACTGTGTTCTGAAGATTCCTGATATCGTATGTCTGATCATTTCTCTCATAAATTCAAATATGCAACAGGCCATCAGTGAAACTCATTTCCCTCTTGCTGAAGAACAAAATGACACCGTCTGTCCACCAAATTAAGCCAGCAGTCTTAGAACTTTTCTGGGGATCCCAGTCATACTCTGAAGTTACCCAGCACAGAGAAGCCTAGCAAAACCACCAATGTTTTTAATATATATATATATATATATATATATACATATATATAATTGTAAAGATACCATAGAGAGGGGTTAGTTACACAAGTCAGGTAATGAGTACCACCAATGCTTTGTGAGATGGGAATTTATATTATTTGCTTTCTGAAACTCTGTGTTTTGTGTAGAATGCAAAGTTCAGAGATACTGTGCAGCAAAGAAACCCCTTTCTATCCATTTGTAATTCAAGTAAGTTTAATTCCATTTGTGTATCACCTTGTAGACAAGGTAAAATAAATTCTAAAAAATCTGGAAAGTATTTTTCTAGAATTAAAAAAATCAGAGATAAAAATATCTCCATCTTTAATGTAATATAGAATATTTGGGGAGTTTATGATGAAAATTTGATGCAAAATTAGGATATACATCATTGAAAATTAGAATTATTAAGAACATAACAGTATGGAAAATTTTACAGAAAATACATAAGCCAAAATGTAGGCAACCAGCATTTCTGGGATTTACTCAAGTTACAGGGATATAGCTACTTTTGATAATTTTTGGTGCATATTCTGGGCATAGGTATATGTATATATACAGCCACAAAAATAGAGGTCCTTAATCAGGGAGATATCAGAAATTTTTGTGAAAAGAAAACAAAATGTTAATTTAAAAATTCAATGTTCTATTTCACGGTTTTTAAACCAAGTGGTTATTTTTGCATAACACCTGTACTTTGTCATATTTAAAGTAGCTAATGAACTTAAAGTCTGTTTTTCCTGAACTTTTGTTTTTGAGTACTCAGTTATTCTCACTCTGATCAGAAGGTGGCAGGCGTCTACCAGATTTCACGGAAATACATCAAGGTTTGATTAAATGCACTCATTAAAACATGTCCATACCTACATTTTACCGACTTTTTAAACATATTAATTGCTAGAAGACAACAAAGTAATTTTGAGTATATTTTATTTAGCTAAGAAAAGACAAAAGGAAGACTGATAGTCACAAGCCACAGTATCATAATGTTAAAGATGTTGACTATGGAGTTACTGTTTTTCAATGTTTGTTTCATATAGTGAAAAAAACAGTTTTGATTCTCTAATTAAGAGATTTTAAATTCTTAATAGCTCACCCTCACATAACTCCTCCCCTGAGTCCCACCCTCCACAGGGCTACTGTGTGTCTCCTGCTTCTGCTTTGTAATCCTCTTCATTTCCTCTACTTCTGCTTTGATTGGTAAAGCCAGGGACCTGGGAAGAACATCCAGAGTGTGAGGAAACTGCTCAGGTTGCTTTTGCATCTTCCTTTGATCAGCCTGCAGAGAGTAATTTATTACAGCTTTCTGATCTTCAAGATGTTCTGGGGCCTACTCTGTGGCCATCTTTGGTTTGAGAAATGGAAACGAGGCTTCACGTTGATGTACATGCAGATGTAACACATATCCACATCCCACAAGTAAGTCATGGCTTCACACTGCATTCTGGACCTCGCTAGCGCTACTGTTCAATAGTAATTTATATCAGCTTAGGTGTCTGTGGTAATTCTTCTCAGATACCACAGTTGGTTCCAGTCCGGTTCTGTCATCACACTTCTTTCTTGTTCTTTCATCTTGTTTCGTGGGTGACCTCTCTGAACCTAAGCCTTTCTCTTGGGCTCATCCTCTGCTCTGTTTGCTGATAACCGGACATTCCATGAGCATTCAAATTCCTATTAGCCTCTGCACGTGGGATTGAGGTATCAGAGAACACTAGAATTGGCTTCTCCTGGTGGTGTGCCCGGTGGATGAGGCACCCTCCACCACTCAGGTGCCTTTCTTCCTTCCACACCTGCACCCGCGTGCAAGCCACGATTTCACGGGGTCCATGGAGAGACCGCTGGCAATGGCTGCTGCCACCAGAAGTGTGGAGGTCAGAAAGTAGCAATCAGGCCTTGTTTCCCTCTGCAAACACTTCACATCCTTCCCACTCCACAGTCCGCTCAGGACACAGGGGTCTCCAACTGCTACAGAGCAATGTGGCGCTCACCGGGAGCCCGCCCTCCGGCCCTCTCCACGGGTGCCTGTCCCAACCCTCTCCACTGCGCGCCTCATTCTGGCTTTGATTTTCTTTCCCACAGTACTTCTTAGGATTTGACCCTTTATTCTGGACAATCAATTGAAGATGGATTTTTTTATTTGGGAAACTAGATTAAAAATTAGTTAATTGATACTATGCAGTTGTATCAGCGCTGCAAGTCAGGATTGAAGTACAGTGATTCTTGGGCCATGCCATCCCTTCATTCTCCGGTTCCCCCTTCCTGTCCTGACCCCTGAGTGATGCAGAAAGTGGATTTAAAAATGTATAGCTTGCTGCTGACTGTCATTATCCTTGTGATATTCTAATGACAGATCAAGGAATGTTACAAATAGAAAATACAAATTTTACATACAGTCAGGTGCCAGTGTCTTGCACCTGTGTATCGTAGCTATTTGGAAGGCTGAGATCTGAAGATCTCAGTGCCCAGGCAGGAAAGTCAATGAGATTCTTATCCCCAACTAAACGCCAAATACAAAATGCCCAAAGTGGGGCTGTGGCTCAAGTGGTAGAGTCCTAACTTTGAGCACAAAAGCTCAGGGACAGAGCCTGGCCCAGGATTGCACATACACAAACACATAATGAGCCATGCACAAGAAATATTTTTTTCCAAAATAAATGGAAAAACTTCCCTACCACCATATTTTAAGCTAAAAACGGCCCCAAGACTATGCAATCAGAAGAAATGACATCTTACTTGAAAAATGATGAGCAAATAGAAGCCAAGGATAGATTTTTTGTGCATCTTCTCTTCCTATCCTTTATCATCTTCATATTTGTTTAGAAAAATCAATGATTG